AAATGTAAAATAAAATCATAATTTAAGTTTTTTGCCGTTTTTGAGAAATGAATTAAATACATTTTTTAAAAATAAAAAGCAATATTAAATATTTTAGTTTTCGTTAGTAAAAATAACATTAATTTATAGGAATATCAAGAGGAAATTTTTATTAAGCTTCCTCCTCTCGACATCACAGGTTATGTAATAATATTTTAATAATGTTAATATAAGTACATACATTAAAACACCTTAATTTGTTGCTGAGAAATATATTTTTTAAAATATAAGTATTGAATTTTATAAAAAAAATATTTGAAGCACTCCCAAATTTACAAAATTAGATTATAAATTTTTTTAACATAGAAGAAACTACGTGTTCAGTCCTAAGGTCAGAGTTTACTTCTTAGAATGACTGTGGGTGGTAATCTCCCCTACCTGACTTCGTTGGGGTGAGGTGGCTGTTTTGCCTGTTTGTAGAAGAGGGCGGCCATTTTGTATTTTATTTTGACTCGGTTCTCGGTCCCCCGACTAACTACGAGTCTGAAATTTTTTATGCGCAAATGACTTGGTCACTCAATACTCTATGCCAAATATCAACTCTTGACATGTACTCCTTCATACCTCTAAGATGGTAATATTGACCGGCAGTACGATTTTATAGACAAGACATAGTCTTGTCAATAAAACTAACTCTCTCCTCTTCGCTCGGGGGAAAGAATTTCTAAAAATCCCTTCTTAGTGTGCATTCGCATTAAGTATCCTACTAAAACGCAGTGAAAAACGCAAAAAAAGCATCTGAAACAGTGCAGTAGAAGCTGAGTTATTCATTTATCATGTAAGATCCTATCATTACCATGAGAAAAGTTAGTTAAATTGTTACGTTACACGTAAAAACGTATCTGTACTGTCATCACAGTAACTGGACACCCACAAACGGATCTATCTGTTCCAGTGTATTAACCACTGATTTTTATAGCATTTTGTAAAAGTCCACTCCACAGTTCATCACCAATTGAGCGCTCAAATTTGTCTGGTACACGAAAATTGGCTGAAGATAAAACATTCGTGTCACTCATCCAAGAAATGCTTTGTTGAAAAGTTAACAACCCAACTTTTCAAGGGCGCTTTACATATTACGCGCTGGCTTTTTTCCATAATTTAGTAGTAGTGAAGGACTATTATAAATCATTTTCGTATCGATTTCCGTTCTTAAGAAGAAAATTATATATTGATATAAGTTTGAAGTGTCTGTAATGAATAAAAACTCATATTTTTATGCATTTCAACGCCAAGATCTATGAAGATTTTCATTGCTACTTCTTGAAGGGTTGTTTAAAATATTAGTAATTCAATGTTGTGTAATTCACGTGTATATTGTTCATTCATTTGTAAAAGTAAAAATTGTAATGATAAATAATGTAAAATACTAAATAGTAAGTATTAAAAAAATTGTAACTTACCATAAAATGTGATAAACTGGATTAAAACTAGTAGCTTTAGGATAAATAAATAAGCAATATTCTTCAAATTATTGTGTTGAAATCTCAACTATGTCTAATTGTAACAAACTCTCGACTTAATATTTATTTATTAATTAAGCGTGACACAACACAAAATTTTAAAAAACGTTATTTTGCTAGTAATTAAAGGAAAAACTGATAGAATAAATAAACTAATTGGAACACGTTGGGCCTCGTTTCTCACTACCTAGCTGCCATTCTTTCTCTTTTTTTTTTAAAACTCTTTCTGTCATTTAAGCATTAAGAGGGTCTTTTTAGAAAGTCCATTATGTTGTTAACAAGAAGAACTATAACTCAAAATATTCCTTGGATTTTTCAATCCGTCGAGAGTTCCCAGAGCAGTAAACTGTTACCATAACCGTTCGGTCATTCTTCCATTTGCCGCTATTATGGACCTGGTAAACCCCACGATAATTATTGAAAAAGACCTCATTTATTACCAACAGGGTAGAAAGAAACAAAAACAATACTTTAAATTTATATAATTCAGATAAGTCTTCGCTTTAAAATATGAAATTATATATCAAATGTTATCTAAATGTTAAATATTATTACTTCTATTTAAAGTTATGCTAATGAAAATATTCCAATAAAAATCTTTAAAAATAAGCTAAACCGTAATGAAGAAAATTGTAAAAAAAATTAATTTATTAATAAATTTGTATTTTGTTAACAAATTGATTCCACGAAGGCACTGGCTCGTAAACGACTTTAATACAACTGGATAAGAAGACCAATGGCATAGCACATTTCATTTGAAACGGCTTTTGTCATTGGCTTGCTTGTCCAGCTATATTAAAGCCGCTTTATCAGACAACATGCCCACGTTCTTACGATACTTAGTATTTACCTATCTTGTTTGCATTCCTCTAATCTATATGGAATTATTGTAACTGTAACCAATAAGCGGATTGACATAAAAATTTGTATACAGATTAAGCAGAAGAGGAGAAGGATTTTACAAAAAGTTGTTTTAGTTTGAAAACTTTCGCTAGTGAGTGCTTTACAGGAAGATACACGAAACACAACGAATAACACGCCTTCCGCAGTGGCTGTTTACTGATGTGAGGAATAATACTCAATGTGTGCCCTATTGTTTAGGTGTCGACTTCACTCTCCTGTAATGCTTTAAATATGCCAAAGTTTCAATATTTCCTTCTTAAACCAGAGTCCAAATAATATGTGCAAAAAGTGTTCCTAATGGAAGTTTTTGAAGTAAAATTTGTTTTTGCAAAATTCTCTTCCGTATCTTTTTGCACAGTCGGTATAGTAAAGTGTAGACTTATAAATTTCCGCTGTTGTCTTTCTGGATGTCTGTCTGTCTGTCATTCTTAAATCTCGAGAAAGCAGTTAGATAGATAACCTTTGAGACTAGATTTGGAAACAATAGAGGGAGAAGACCCCGGTTAACTATATATAACTATACATAAACTTGCGGTTAATACCAGACGTGACGTTATTTCTATTCAAGCATTTTTTCCTGAAAGGTCTTAGATAGGTAACCAACATGACTCTATTGTTAAAGGAAACGTATAATATACAGGGGCAAGCCACTACTAATTTAACGTGGAAGCATATATTTTAAATGTTTTACATATTTTATTATAATTACATTTTAAAATTAATTGCTGATAATAATAACGCAGTTCATACACCCGGATATAACGTACAAAAAAATCAAGGTATTTTTGTAAATAGCTTAATCATACAGGTTATATTATGCTTATACATTTCAACAGCTTATTTACACCCTTCTATTTATTTTAAATAAATATAAAATTTCTAAGGATATGAATGATGACAAAAGTATTGTTAAAAAAAAAACAATAAAGTTAGAATTACACTGAAAAAGTTTTAGCTTTTTAAATAAAAGAACTTTTAATTTTATTTATTGATACGAAGTTTTATTACAGTTTTAAGTACTTTACAATAATTTAATTAATACATGTAATCGGGAATTGTGGGGACATTGTCTGGAAGTTCATAACACTTGCATCTATCATATTTCAACTGTAATCCAAATTTTGCTCCTAATTTTTTACATTCTTTATCACAGTATTCAGCACCAATCCCACGTAAAGAGTCTGGATAACCATCTTTAGCCTGGACTAAAAACAAGACTAAATAAAATTGTTTTTATTAATTTTTTCTCTTACATAATTTTTACTTATATTAATTATTAAATACTTTACGCCCAGGAAATGCCCAGGAAATACTTTTGGGTTTGCTAGACCGAATTCGATCCCGGACCCTTCAGGGCCAGTTTCGAGAAATACGCGCATGAATGAATGCAAAGGCGACAAATGTCTACTAACTCTTCCCATAGATTTCTGTGTGACGGGTGCAGTGAAACAGTTATGACTTTATACAATTATGCTATTGCTATAATGTAATATAATGTAAAAAATGTTTTACATAACATTTTTAATACCTTTATTACACATTTTAATTTTTCTCCACGATTTTTTACATAAACTTTTCAACAGTTCAATTTTACTACGCTGTGGTCTCGTCTGATTTATTTACACACTTCACACAGATGAAATGCATTGTATTATTATACTAGTAGATGAGTTCGGCGTTGCTCGAGAAAAAAATAACAGTAAAGGTTAAGATTATTAGATTNAATCTCAATTACGTCTAATTGTAACAAACTCTCGACTTAATATTTATTTATTAATTAACCGTGACACAACACAAAATTAAAAAAAAAACATTATATTTTGCTAGTAATTAAAGGAAAAACTGATATGTAATCAGTGATTTTTTTTGTAACATGAAGTAATCAGTTTGAAAAAAACGTAGACTTTAATATAATAAAATACACCTAATAAGGAATTTAAATAATTTTAAAAAAATCATATAAATATTCGAATTTCATATTTATTGCTTATATTATTTGCAGCACACGAAAACACAAAACGTAAATTTATACACAACAAGAACAATTGATGAATCAATTACAATGTCCATATTACTTGTAGACATAAACTTTGGTATTCAGGAGGAATTTCTTAATCCTTAACCTGAGAACAGAAACAATGTGCTCATATACTGTATTTCACAATGATGTTGTACTGTACATAAGATCTAGTTTCCTCTGCAAACAGTGTATTACACTTTTGATAAGAATTCTCTTACAACTACTTTTATTTTTCTGTGTAAAGTTATTTGAACTTTATTCTTCGTAAAGAAGCGAGCAACAAATGAAAAATGTATAATATTAATTACGTCAAAAAATTAAATAACTTTACATTTTATTATACTCGTATACAGAATTAAATAATTTATAATCCTTTATTATTGTTAATATAAAATAATAATAAATAAATTCTACAAAAAAAACATAAGAAATGAGAGAGCATATTTTTAAAGTGAACTACAAATATTCAAGGTTGAGTGAATTAACTTTTAAATATGATGATAAATATTACGATTATATTTTTAAACCTTTAAACCAGGATATTTTACGTATTATTTTTGTATTATATTACGCATAAAATATAAAATTACGTTTAAACAACAAACGATAAAATGCCATATGTATTAATATACTATACTAAAGAACTAATACATTTTAACAATTTCAGCCAGTTTCGTATTATTAGTAAATTGTGTTAAGTGTTAATGTTGTTCTTTTTAGCAATTGTAATACTTTTTCTACTATTAATTCTAATAAAATAACAATTCTTAATTAAAGTCAATTTAGAGAAAAGATGAACAATTATCCATAACTGCGAGAGGATGGGCATTATTTGAATTTGATAAATTGTTTGAATTAATTGTCCACGTTTTCCTTCAAAATAGAACTAAGAATTTCGAAGTTTTTGTTTCCTGACGGAACCAAAACATTGCTGAATAACCGGATGTTTTGTATTTTTCTCAAAATTCCGTAAGTTACTTGAGTGTTTTGAAAAGTAACGCTTACGTGGTCATAAGTATTTTAATGACGAAACAAATTATGTGAAATCCGGTTTAGGATTAACCTTGATTCTTGGTACACATATCCAACTAGAGGCGAATCACAGTAATTAAAAAAACACCATAAAAATGTGTCTTTTAATTTTATTTTTTTAACATTTGTTATTACAGTTTTAAATTATATTACAGTAATCTAATTAATTAATCGATATCAGAAATTTCATCTATTGTTTTGACATTGCGTGGAAGGTCAAAACACTTGCATCTTCCGTTGGAAACTCCTGCTTTTGCTCCTAATTTTTTACATTCTGCATCGCAGTCTTCAAAATCATTCAAAAGTAATTTTAGTGGTGTTCCATTTTTAGTCTGGACTAAAAACATAACTAAATAAAAATGATTTTTATTAATTTTTTCATGTACATAATTTTTACTTATATTAATTATTAAATACTTTACGTTACCTGAAAGCAGTAGACATACAAGGAATAAAGTCTTCATTTTGATGTATCTGGATCTTTGGATAACCTAATATTTTATCTAGGAAAATGTAAAATAAAACCATAATTTAAGTTTTTTGCCGTTTTTGAAAAATGAATTAAATACATTTTTTAAAAATAAAAAGCAATATTAAATATTTTAGTTTTCGTGAGTAAAAATAACATTAATTTATAGGGATATCAGGAGGAAATTTTTATTTTTCTCGACATCACAGGTTATGTAACAATATTTTAATAATGTTAATATAAGTATTTGATTTTATAAAAGGTTATATAGTAGGCCTATATGTAATTTGTAGATTTATACTGAAAATTTTAAATAAAATAAAAAATCCATTTAATTATTAATTAAAATATATTTTAAAAAATTTGTAAAATTTACTTACTTCAATTTTTTATAGCTTTTAACATATTAAAAATTATACTAGATAATATATCGAGTAATTTGATATCAGTTCCTTATAAGGAATTAATTGTCAAATGACAAAAAATTATAAAAATCTTTCTTGTAAATTAAAAAAAATATATGAATGTTTTAAATTATATTTTAAGAGAAAATATAAATCGATGTAGAAAATAATTGAGATAATTGAGTTTATATTTAAATTTTTTTTCAATTAAAATTTTTTAGTATTCATTCAAATAATAACAATTTACTTTTCAGTTTTTTATTTTCACTTCTTCTGCTGTAAAAGCATTAGAAGAATGTTTCTTCCATACTCGTCGAGGGTTCGGCTAAGCTACCTCCCCCATCCGTTCGTCCCTATTAATTCTACTTTATAATTATACTTTATTTAATCTTCAATGCTTCTAATTTTATCCGAAACTGTATTGAAAATATGTGTAATTTCAGTTCTGGTGAACTTTGTTTCAGTGTTTATCTGCATAGAAAATTAATGCAGGTATACTGTTCCGCTGTAGGCCCGCTTTCATTTTATGCTGACATATTTTGTAAAAATGTGTAAAAACATTTTTACACATTTTTATATTACATTTTAAACACCTTTATTACACATTTTAATTTTTCTCCATCAGTTTTTACATAAAATTTTTCAACAATTCATTTTTACTACGCTGTGGGCTCGTCTGGTTTATTTACGCATTTCACACAGATGAGCTGCAAATTATTATAATTATCAAGAATAATAATTTAATTTCAATATCTTTCAATAATTTTAACAGTTTGAAATTGTAAGCTCCGATCATTACGATGAGAAAAGTTAGTTAAGTTGTTACGTTACACGTAAAAACGTCTCTGTACTGTCATCAAGGCCACTCGACAGCCACAAACTGATCTGTTCCAGTGTATTAACTGCAGACGTTTATAGCATCTTTTAAAAATTCACTCCACAGTTCATCACCAATTGAGCACCCAAATTTGTCTGGTGCACTTCAAAATTAGTTAAAGATAGAATGGGAAGACAATCGTGTCACTCATCTGAGAAAAGCTTTGTTGAAAAGTTGCCCTATCCAAGTTTCAATGACCCTTACATATTGAACACTAGTCCATCCTTATATTTTATTACTAGTTAAGGATTGTTATAAGAATCAATTTTCAAATTCTCGTATCCTGTCTTTAAGAAAGGAAGTTAGAAGTGTCAATAATACTCGTGCACGAATAAAATCTCATATTTTTATACATTTCAATACGAAAATCTATAAAGATTTTCATAGCTCCTACCAAACAATAACATTACACTAATTAATTTGAAGTTAAAATACTGTATTAGAAAAAAGTATGGAAAACATTGTTACTTACCTTAAACTGTGATAAGTAGAATAAAAATAGTTGTTTTCAGAGATATAAATAAGCAATATTCTTGAAATGTATTGTGTTGAAATCTCAATTATATCCAATCGTAAACTTTCGACTTAAAATTTTATTTAAGCGTGACACTGCACAGAATTTTAAAATATTATTATTATGATTATTATGTTACAAATATTTAAAAGAAAAACTGATGCGTAATCAGTGTTTTTTTTTAGTGACATTAAATCATCAGTTTGAAAAACAAACGTAGATTTTTTTTCTTAGATAGACAATTTACCAGTGGCCTAATGAATAAATAATGGCACATAGTTGGTCGCGGGTTTATGCATTAGGTGTAAGACACACGGAAAACTCCACGTGGCTTTGCCAATGTGCTGGCTAAGTAAAAATTTCCGGATTTTCTTCACCTAGTTAGCTTCTAAATAAAAACCAGTTTTTTGTAGAATCAAGGAATCACTGTCTCGCAGATTGCTCATGCGTTGCATTGCCTTATTGCATTCATCCAATCTAGTTTTAATATCTTCCTTCCTTTTCCTTACGAAATCCAGCACTATGGTAGGGTTTTAGGAAATTGATCATATATAAAAACAAATACAATAAATTAATAATTTTAAATTTGTTCATTGCTAATTATGTATTTTCAATAACAGAAAAATAATGATATGTAAAATTTATTTTGATCTGCTGAAGTAGCAATGCAACATGAAATTCCTACCCTTGTACTTCCTTCTTTATCTTTATATTCTGAATAATCACTTTCACTATGTCCGTAATAAATTTTATATTCTTCTATATATTCTGATGTATAAGGTCTTCCCTGAGTAGCAATGGCAGTAATGTTGTATTTATCTGGCAATTCAATTGTTAAATATTGGCTGAAATCAGCAATCTTTGCAGTCCATGCTCCACCTCCTGAAAGATTTGTAATGAATTGATACCAATTTTCAATTTATTGATTAGTCCATCACCACTGCCAGGTTAGTCAGAAAAGAAATTATTGCGATGTGTTAGTGAAGAGCATTATAAGATGTGAATTGACATAGTATTACAAAATGTGAAGATAAATACAAATACTACAAAGATGTGAATTTATCCCTTTAAGTAAATGTAATTATTAAAATAATTAAATTATAACAAACACATAATACAGAAAATACGGTTTTAAGAAAAATCAAAATCAAAAATATTTTCAAATTAACAGTTAATAATTTCTAAGATGTTTATTTATAAATTTATTATACATAAAAAGAATACAGATGGACAGCTCATTTCAAAAATGTTTCATGTAAAAAGTAATAATCTGTTTTCTACTGTTACTTTAATAACTATATGTTACATCATCTATTATTATATTTAATATATCTCACATAAAATTTTCTGCAATATTTGGCTAATNTATTAATTTCTTATACAGTATTATTTTATAGGACACGAAAACACAAAACGTAAATGTAAATTCATATACAATAACAAGAATGGATGAATCATTTAGAATTTTAATTCTGTAGACAAACTTTCACTGAATGTGGAAGTTTGTCTACAGAATACAGAGTAATAGTGGCATTTTATTAGAGCTCGACGAATACTTTCATTAACTCATCTACAGAGAATATAGAGATATTCACCAGCTGTTGAGTATACTTAGATCAGACACAACTGCATATACGAGTATATTTGATAATAATAATGACGTTAAAAAAATTTCACGATTACACAATCTGTTTTGCACACCATTAAACACACAAAACAGACCTAAATATAAAACAATACAATAAAAACAGACATCCCTCAAGTAATCTTTAAAGGAGCTGCAGAATAAGCATCTTTACCATCTAATCCAGAATCACGTTGGCTCTTTGGAGAAACAAAGAGAATTATGGCTTTTAATTTTTATAAAATAAATTGACTATAATATTTAAAATTTGTTAATCAGCAGACTTTTCATAATATTGCCCGAGAACCGATATAAATATGAATTTCCACCGAAATTAGATATACATTATACCAAATTTAAGACGATTTATTAAATATTTATTACTCTGACAGCGATGGAAAAATTTTGATGATAATTAAAAATATTAAAAAATTAATAATCATTTATATTTTTAAATTATTATCAAAATTTTATTAGCATTATTGTTAATTTAAAAATAATTAAACATTTCTTAAACTGTACTTAAAACATATAATATTTTAATAATTTTTAAATTATTCAAAATTATAATAAAAATTCTAATTTTATACGGAGTAATTTCTTCGTCATTTTTTCTTCCTTTATAGAAAAATTCCAAATATATAGAAAATGATGTATAATACAATTTCTGGTATTCTTCCATTGAAATTTCAATAATCTTTTAAATTTTCATTATTTCTTTTAGTTTTTTGACATTATAAATCACTAAATTTTTAGTCCTTTCTTTTAAAATTTCTTAACAGATGTAAGATAACTGTAAACAAATCTTTCGTCGAATACCACTTGATAATTATTTTAATTGTTATTAGACCAATACAGGTTTAAATGAATGCCCCAGAATGGTTGATATGGTTTCTACTCGATTTGGATAGAAATTAAATGTATCCTTATCTAATTTCATGCAATGGTTTCATTGAAAACAGTGGAAGAGATGTATAAGAGAATATTGTTTATGTCTTCATTTTGAAGATTTGGTTAGTTTGGTTCTATTCGTTTACTGCAATAGCAACACATGGTTGATCTGCCAAGAGGGAATTCTTCCCGGGAGGTCTTTTATGGAAAATGCCACTATTTAGTTATTATTAACGTGAAGAAAACCAGGAAAACTTCAAGTGGCCATCCCGTTGGAAAGGCGCGAACCCACGACCATTATTCAGTGGTTTTATCCCACTGAATAATGGTCCCACTGAATAATGGCCATTGATAGGCTTGAAGATTCGAAAATTCTCCTGAATGTCTCCAAAATAAAAAATTCCAAATTTACTAAAATGTTTTATTTATAAATCTAAGTCCTATATTTTGTTTCTTACAAAATATTAATGGCAATTAATAACTATTTTGAATATTTATGATTTTTTTAAAAGTTATTTAAATTGAATAATAATGGATTTAAAGTTGTCATACTGAAACTTCAAAACTATGCAATTATTTTAATAAATGATAGCAAAAATAGAAAATTTTGAATAATTTAAAGATACTGTAATTAAAATTTTATATGCTTTAAGTGCAGTTTAAGAACTATTAATTTATCATTAATTAAGAGTATTGCTAATATATCCTATTAAATTTATAATAATATCTAAAATATAAATTAATCATTGTTTTTCTTTTTATTTTTAATTATCATCNGGCATACCAAAAATTCTTATACAAAGTGCTGGTAAGGCTGGAGCACTGTATATTTGTAATAAATTACCTATTAGTAAAACAATATAATTTCTCATTATGTAATAAATTAATTTTCAAATAAGTATTATATTTTGAGTATATTTAGAGCATGTCTTTTGGTGATAATGAATGAGAAACATCACAATTATACAAACTGTTAATACTGGCATACGAAAACAACATAGTATTAAATATACAAAACTTAACTAGATATAACGGTTATTCAAATGAAACACTGATTGAACCGTGTAAAACATGAGGTCAATGGTCACAATAGCAGAATTACAGTATACACAGCATAATGACATTTATACACAGCATAAGTTGCATTAGCTGCACAGGAAATTATGTATCCCAACGGGTTTAATGCAATTATAACAGCGTGTATATCCTTAAAGTAGAAAGAGGAAAGCTGCTATATGAACCATTCAGTTACAGCTGTACAACTGTTTGGACTTTGCAATGAGACTGGAATCTGTGATTATTGAGAAACCTTTTTAAAAGGATCAAAATCATGGAAATTGTAAGGTGACTTATTGGGGCTATCAGGCAGATGTTGCATTATTTCGAATGGAAAGTACTGCAACACCGACCTTAGTCCTGATACGGCACTTCGCATCTTCCATGTTTTCCAATCTTTAAAAATGTTTCTCAATGCTAAACAACCCTTATGTAAAATAATACATAAAAAACAAACAGACATCAAGTAATCTTCAATGGAGTTGCACAATAAGCATCGTAACGATCTATATATTCTATTCTATATATTATAGAATTATTAAACTCGAATAGATGAAAATTTATTTCAAATTATTTCATAAAATATCCGCATAAAAATCACGACATAATATGAAATGTCAGTATTATTACGATTTAATATTTTTAAAACATATTTGAGTAAATATTGAATTATTTTATTGGAAATACTGCAGTAAAATACCTGTATATTATTTTATTATAGAGGATGTTGGTTGCATTGATTACATCTATGATATGTATCGGCGCCTTTGCAAAAGAAGGTAATACTGTAAATATTAGGAAACATTTTTAAATTTTAAAAATATTTATTTTAATGAATATTTATAGATGTTTCAGATCTTCCGAATTATTGCCCGAGGACCGATAATGAATATGGATTTCCACCTAAATTTGATAAAGATTTCAACAAATTCAGAGTATACTTTAAGAGAAATTATTACAGTTGTCTACATCATAATCCTGATTATATTTGCAAATGTTATGGATTTCAGGAAAGTCTCTGTATAAGTAGATATGTTTATTGTCCACGGGTTAAAACAATTCCTCAAGGATGTCCTACAGGAAATTTATTAAATTCGAACGGAAAATTCTTACCGATAAAGTTGTTATATGCTTTTATCTGTTCATATTATTTTCTGCAAATTATTCGAATTGTTGTTTATTAATCGAACAAATAGACCAAAATTATTAATACATTTTATTAAATCTTTGATATATTTTTACTAAGAAGCTTATTTTTATCGCATTTATTTCATTTTTTTGGATGATTTTTTATATTTAAAAAATGATTTCTAAAGTGTTATAGATTTCAAACAATAAATATTCATAATTACAAATTACAGTTGTACAAATTTTTATTAATAAATTAAATACATTTTCCAGAAATTTTTTATGTTTAATATAAATCTTTTTTTTTTTCTACTACTAAAATATTCGATATTGTGTAGTTTCATCGAATAGCTTGTTCTCATAAAAGTTCAATTTTTAATGACGTTAAATAAAATGTAAAAAAAAAACGTGAAAATGAAGATCACCAATTTAATTTATGTTATCAGCACAAGAGAGGATAAACACAGGGAATAAACTCTAGAACAAGAGGGAATAAATTTATCCTCTGAGAGTTCGAAATTATCACGCAGTAACTGCGTTCACTTAACCTGTACACGAGCAAACCATGTGTATAAAGGTTACGGAAGTCTTTGAACTACCGCCGACACTATCAAAGGAGCAGAAAATCTTTACTGAAGATCCTTGATCCTTAGATCCTTCAGTTTTTCTTCTTAAATCCTCAGATCTACATATATACATAGATGGATCCATGTAGTCGACCTTTAGAAAAGATTTCGTTAATAAGCGAATGTTACTTCAAGACAGTTTTCATTTAGCTGATGACTTTTACCATGGAACCATATTGCTCGAAATGAGTCCTTGTTTGATTTTCTGCAATGATTCTATTAACACTGTGGAAGGGGATGCACAAAACACGATTTTACAACTGCTAGACTTATACGAGAACATTGTTTGTGTCTTCGGGTTGAAGATTCAAAAATTCCTCCTGAATGTCGAACTTCGTCTCTAGAGTTAAAATTCCAACTAATTCCTCAATTGCTATTATTCAGTAAAATTTATGTTTTGTATTTTCGTGTCTTACAAAATAATTTAAGTAATTAATATCAAGTTCGAATATTTATATAAATTATAAAAATTATTTTAATTGTATAGGAAAGAATTTTTATTAAAACCAAAACGTGTGTCGTTAATTTATGAAATTAAAGCAAAACATTAAGAAAACAACAACATAAAATTTGTTATAATTTTTTAAAATCTATTATAGAATATTTTAAATACTTATTAATTAAGAATAATACTAATAAAAGTTTAAAATTATTAATTTATACTTTCCCTATGTTATACACAACAATCGGAAAAATAATATTTTTACATAACTAATGTTATCCAGAGAGAAAGCTGAAGAATTTTCACCATGGCCATTAATGTATCCTATCCCTATAAATTATTGTTATTGTTACTAACGAAAACTAAAATCCTTAATATTGCTTTTTATTAAAAAAAAAAAGAAACATTCTACTTAATTCAATTGTCCAACAAAAGGCAAAAAAAGTCTCGCTCTGTCCCCAGACCCCATAAAAGCTCTGGATAGACTTTTATATAGTAATGTTTAAAATGTAATAAAATATAAAATAATTATTACAATTGAAAATTAACAATGGGAGTGTCAACAATAGACGTGTCAACAATGGAAGTGTTATGTAAAAATGGAAGTGTTAAGAGAAAGCGTCGTTTTAAGAGAAAGTGCAGTTTTTTTCGTTTTTGCAGGAAATCGAAGATATTTTTAGACCCATCTAAAAATTCTCTAATTAGCAGATAGGCCCGGCGTTGCTCGGGCGAAAAGTAACGATAGCGAATATTAAGGTTATTATGTTATAGTCAATCTTACCCGTTTTCAAAGAATGCAAGAATTAGGTCCCCCTGTTTCCGGACTAATTAGAGAATTTTTAGATGGGTTAAAAAATGTTCGATTTCTTGCAAAAACGAAAATAAACTGCATCTACGTCTGTAAATCTTGCACGTCGCTTTATCTTAACACTTCCATTGTTGATACTTCCATTGTTACTTAACACTTCCATTGTTGACAGTTCCATTCTTAACACTTCCATTGTTGATACTTCCATTCTTAACACTTCCATTGTTGATACTTACATTATTACTTAACACTTCAATTGTCGAAGCCTTAATCCTGCCCCTCTCTCCTCGGGGGGAATTTCGAAAAATCCCTTAGTGTGCGTTCTCGTGCCGTACCCTAACTGTGTACCAAATTTCAATTTTCAACTCATAACCGTTTGGGCTCTGCGCTGATTATTGTTACCAACTGGTCTCGATTATATATATAGATTATTACAATTAAAAATTATGTTATAATTATTTTAATGTTAATAAGTTTTTATATTTAAAATTTATTTAAAGAAGAAAATTTTAGAGATTTCGGGATCGATTCTCTCATAGAGATTTCCATTCGCTCTTAGATTATTCACCTAATTAATCTTAATTTAAAATTATTTTTATATCATAGCCGAATATCAAGTGGTAATCTGCCAACAATCAAATTTGGCAAAAAATGGACAAAATATTTAAACTATGCACTCTAGAAAACACCTTAAATTATGTTTTGTGCTCGCTGGTAACTTTGTATTGTGTAATTTTCTTATGCGAATGCATAAGACTATAAACCACCGTGAGTAGTATGTTCTCGTAAATAGCGAGTTCATAGGAATTTTTTAAAATTTATTTATTTATTTACTGCAACACGATAAGTGGGCGATCTGTCGAGAGGATCCCTCCCAGGAAGACTTTTATGAGAAACTGGCTGCTATTTAAGTGTTAGACATGTGAAGAAAACACTGTAAACCACTTGACCAGCTCGTTGGCGTTGCACGAAACCACGACGGACTAACACGTGTTAGGTAGTTTTATCCACTCGGCAACTGGAGGACACTTGTGGTAATTAAGAAAGTACCATTCAGAAACGAAACCGCGTTGTTAGATGTGGAAAATTAAATATTTATATATATTTCATAATGTAACACTTTCGACTCCATGCAGAAGAGTGTTATGTGCTATCCGTCACAGTAATGATATAGCGCATCTGCTCCGCGCTATATTACCGTATTGTCTTAGTAATTAAGCGAATATAATATACATATTTTTTTGTTTTTTAAATTATATCCATTTTTTGTATGAAATACAGTGGACCCCCCTATAATACGGTAGATACGTTCCGTGTTATATGAATTCCGTGTTGTATGAGTCACTTAAATATATGAGCCAATCACAGCCCGGCACATGTGCAGTTTAGGGGCTTACGGCTGTTTGAAAGGTTTTCTTTCATAAAATTAACCGATTCTAGACTGATTTGACTCAACATTTCCAAAACATTATTTTTTGGGAATAATCTATATAAACTATGCTATAAACAAAAAATTGTAGAACTACTTACCGAGTGTTCACCGTTCGACGACGCCATCGCTTAAGCTTGCTTTCGTCGCGGAGCGGCTCATCGCGTGTTTCCTGATAAGTTATTTTTCTGCGAAAAATTGCTGAACTTTGGAGACATCATTAATATAAATATAATTTTTGTGGCCGTTAAATAATAAATGGTTTTTAGTAAGTCCGCTGCTTGTTTAAACTCAACGAAATTGTACAATATCCGCTATTGGTCTAGATTAGATTAATCCTGTCGTTGACGTTTTACCGTGTTATACGAACACGATCGCAATTTCTCGCAGTGTTATACGAATCCGTGTTATATGAACCCGTGTTATGGGGGATCTACTGCATATTTACTTTATTAGTTGTTTAATTTTTGCCAATGAGATGGCGTTCCGTGTAAAACCAGAGACTCGAATATATACAGAAGTTAATTGATATATAGAAATTCAATAAATATTTCGAAATGGCATGCACTTCGTTATCTACGATTTTCATGTTAACGTAACTGCCGAGTGTTGTAGTAACAAGTCAAACGACATAGGAGTACATGGAGAACAAACAGACAAACATCTTCATTTATATATACAGTATATATGTAGTTAATCACCAAACCCACTTGTTAAAAGATTATTGTTTTTAACTTTGTAATGTATTTAAATTGTATTTTTTTATACAGTTCTTGGTAGCCTACTTTATTGACATTTTGAATCAGTAACTAGCCATAAAAGAGAGATTGCTGCCCATACAATTTCTATCTACGGTAGGAAGAATAAAAAAAAAGACAACCAAAATAATTATTATCTTTTATTTATATATAAAAACATAATTAATTTAAGATATGATTTCACTTGAAACAGAACATTTTTCATATAATTTCTACTAATATTTCTACATAATTATCCTTTAACAGTTTATATGATTGTTTATAATCAAAATTTCTCAAAGTTTATCTGTAATTTAATTAAAATAACCAAAGATATAAATTAAACAATATTTGTATTAACATTTTATTTGAAAGAAACTTATACTGTAACACATATCGATAAATCATACAATTTTTTCACAATAACAGTGTTCGTTCCTACAATAACCATCATTGTAGTTTAATGAGTGACATTTCTCTAAGCATTTCGCTTCGTCACAATCTGATGACACATGTCTTGGACAATGGCAAGTTTGATTTTTACAATAACCTCTGCTATAATTATAAGTATAACATAACTGTAAGCAACGATTATCTCCACATTCATTTTCTTCATTTTCCACACAGTAACAACTTCTGTTTTTACAATATCCCATATTGTAGTTAAAAGAATAACACGCTTGTAAACAATGGAATTCTTCACAATTAAACAATGAATTAAATTGAATATTTCCTTTTGGCTTGGGCAGAGAATGATGTTTCTTACCAGTTTTTTTACGATTCCATCCGATTCCTAGATAAATTATTTTAAAACTGTTTAATTCATATACTCACAGAATGTTCATAATTAATATTTATTGATTTCTGCGTTTCTTCCGAAGAAATACAATCCGATAGAAATTTAAAATGTAAAGCATGGCCTCTTGGCACATTGAAATTCAAAATGAAATCCGTTAATTTTTTTCCACAATGTGTAAATGGTTAAGATAAATATAAAACAAATTGAAACAATATAAATTTTATCTGTTTACAGTATAAACGTACCGGTGTAAATACAGGTATATTGTTTGA